CAATTTCTAGAACTTGATGTTCGAGGGATCACATTCGTTGCGAGATTCGAGGCTTGGACCCTTAGACGCTCAAGGAAACATGGCCCATTAGATTCACCAAGCTGCCCAGATGTCGGTTTCTCAAAGTTGGGTCTCCAAAAACTGGGTTGTGCCTTTGGTTTCCCTTTAACCACCACCGACAAAGGGGGCTCCACCATGTTGACGAACCTGTGAGGTGGTGCGGCTTCATGTCACGCACGTGGACACGGTGAACAGCAGGCAGCAAGTGGCCGTGCTCGAACAAGCGGAGGCTTTGGCAGCGAAGTGGCAGCCGCGAGCCCCCGGGAGTTTTATGTCTGCTCAGGCCGGAGCACGGTGGCACGGCACGGCGACTCAGAGCTGGCCCAAATATCCCGAATGATTCAACCAAACTCGCAGGGATGGGATTATTCTATACATATAAATAAATAAATAAATAAATATTATATCATACGTATTACATACATGTAGATGTTGTAAGTTTGTGTCGTAATACGTCATATGATGTACATATTCAACATCCAGAGGTACGTGTTGATCCCCGAGACTGCAGCATGTCACGATGTTTTGTCCAGGCATACATCTACTTTGACCAGTACCGCATTATCGTGGAGCAGATGACGACCAGCATTGGGCTTTGCCTGCTGGCTGTGACGGTGATCAGTGCACTGGTTCTGGCGCATCCTTTGTCCGTGCTGATTGTATTCGTGGTCCTCGCTCTCGTCTTCACAGACTTGATGGGCAGCTTGATTCAGCTTGATGGTCACCTTGATGGTTTCCTTTGCTCTCTGCCTTCGGATGCCTGCGTTTCTCCGTATGAACTTGTATGGGTGCCGATGTCGAGCGTTGTCCAGAGGCTAAAAGAGGGGTGATTTGATTCATGCTTCAGGCAACATTGTCCTTTGGAGCCTGGACCTGAACAGCATTTCGATGATCAACTTGGTCATGGCTGTGGGTCTTGTAGTGGACTACAGCGCCCTTGGCAGCAGACTTTCTGAGCAGTTCCACGGTTTGATGTCCAAGAAGTTGCAGTGTAGAGCAGGCATCAAATCGGACCTCACTGTGAACACTTCCTGCGGGTGCTTTTGGTCGAGGGAACACCTTTGGGCTTTTTCAGTAAAACGCAACAAGGAACCGGCCTTCACTCCTTGGCTTTATGGGACTCCCCTAGGCCCTAACAGACTGGGTGAGATCATGGCGCATTGCGAGGAGTCTAGGCGCGCCAGTGCCAAGGGTGGCCACGTCAGGCATGCACATGGCCCACAGCTTCAGCCTCCAAAGCTCGCATCTGAGCAGAGCGAGACGGGCAGAACTGGCCATGGAGGCGACCCGCGGCTGGGAATCCAAAATGAGTGGAGACCCCAGGATTTTGAGAAGCTAAGTTGGTTTCACATAGGATATCATTGATTGATTTCGGTGACTGCCCAAACATACCAAGAGTTGCTCTTGTTGGGCATGTCAAGCTGGCACAGGAATCGAAGGCCGTAGGTTTTGGACAGCGCTTGGAAGCCCAGGCCCCATCGGCAACCCTCCCGCCACCTGAATCCTGACCCCGAAGCTTTCATAATTTCAGCTGGGGACGACTCAAGTGCTCAGAAAGTGAATGATCAAGATGGGTGTTTCCTCATAGCATAGACTGATTGCTCCGATGTAGTGCTTGAACCATGCATTATGCATGATTCATGACTCCTCCTTTGATTTGCACCTGTCTTGCAGCATAGCATAGACAAATTGCTCCAATGTAGTGCTTGAACCATGCATCATGCATGATCCATGACTCCTTCTTTAGTCTTTGATTTGCACCTCCTTCTTTGATTTGCACCTGTCTTGCATCAAAAGAGTCATCGACCACATGACAAATTCCCTGCTGTCTTGAATACCCACCCCTGAAGCTGAAATATCCCGATGTTGAGGGGGATTGGCGTGATAAGTACGATCTGTTGAATCCGAAATCATCGAAGAATTGCACCCGTTCGAGTTGGTCCCCTTTTTGGCTTGGTCTGCGGAAGCCAACGAGTGACACCTGACGCCTGACTGTCGCCTGGGCGTATTTGGTTTTTCCCCAGCGGCATGGGGCCCCAGGGCTGGGGATCTGTTCCCATGTCAGCACCTAGGAGCAAGGTGTTCCCCAGGTGAACTGGGTCTTGGGAAGGTTTGGGTCGGGTAGGAAATCGGCCCCGCGATCTTCCTGGGTGTCAGCGCCTTGGAACGCATCCTTGCGCCGTCGTTCGGCACCGGCAGCGAAAAAGTCTCACTCTTGCCCCTTTCCGGGCCTCCTCTTTGTTGCTTTCGTGTAACTACCCGCCCACCAACATGAAAGCACAAAGGGCCAGAGGCCCTTTTCGCAGGCCACTGGCCCTTTGTGCAAAAGTCCAGTTCTAGCCATAGAGAGGAGATGCGAGGGGGGAGCCAGACTTGATCCGGGAGCTCGCCCTTTCCCAACATCAGGGCGATTCCTGGCACCTCTGTCTAGGTTTCCCAGCCAGGTGCTCTTCTCAGCCCTTTTTTGGTTGGGAGGGTTTCCCTACTAAAATAGACATCCTGAAAACAGATCGGGCATGAGGCACCACCTTCCTGGCGATCGTGCCACTGGCATTCTCCTCGAGCCAAGCCTTCCGTGTGTTCTTCAAGATGTTCTTCGGCATCGTTGTGGCTGGAGGCAGGAAAAAACCCTCACTGCTGGGGGGGGGGGGGTCAGAATCATTTTTTGGAGCTTCTCCAAGGAAACTGGGTCCAAAGATTCCTAGGGACGGAGTGAAGGGACCCACGGAAACCTAAGCACGTAGCCTAAAGCTGGCTCCCTGCATGAAACAGTTTCTTTGCCTCCGGTGTGGCGGTTGCTTTCCTTGAAGTGGCCTGTTAAAACCAAGCGGGGGTCATTCATTGAGACAGACTGGTTTTGCCTTCCTCCCCAACAACAGGTACCTTATGTGGTTTTTGGTTAGCGTTTTGTCCGGTTGCCCTGCCTACGAATGGCGCAAGCCAAACCCTGCAGGTTTGCATGGCCTGGTGTTCTTGCCCGTGTGCCTTGCCGTCATGGGGCCCAGTGTGACCCAGGTCTTGGCCGACCCCGGCATCTTGGCTCTGGCCTTTGGGATTGAAACGACGTAAACACAGCTGCCCTTTTTGGTTGGTTTGCTTAATTAAAATAGATGGCGATTCCTGGTTTACCTGGTGGTTCAATCATCTACCAGGGAAACCCATCTATTTTCCAAAAAGGACACCTATGGACGAAAAGCTAGTGTCTTTGCGGATATTGGCTGTTCAAAGTAATGCGAGACCCTTATGCCAGATAGTGGCTGTAGTGGTGTCGTATGACAGATGCTTAGATTACCTCAACCTTGAAAACGGTTGGACATTGACCTTTTGACGTGTAAAGTCTAAGCATTTGGCAAGTCTAGCCAAGATGCCCCCTTCCCAAACACAGCAGAGGATCTTGAGACCCGACCTGTCAGGCGGGTGTGGGATCCGTTTGGAGGGGCTGACATGCGAATCTCAGGAATATGTGTCCTTTTTTGTTGTTTTGCTGGAATCATAGATGGCCCTGGTTTACCTGGTGGTTTAATCATCTACCAGGGAAACCCATCTATTTCCCCCAAAAGGACACCCATGGTCTCAGGCATCTCGAATCTGGAGGATGGCAAAGATGGCAACGAGGGCATCCCAACGGAGCCCGACTCTGCTCGACCGAAGGTCTCCGAGTCCAAACCGCCAAAGCAGTAGGCAGTCACATGCCGGGTGGCTGCATTGAAGACACCTAACTCCGAAATGGTCTGGCTATTTAGATCGACTGGTCTGTGATCAACTCCCAGATGCTATCAGTCATGCTGTCAGAATTTGCAGCCAGCAACCCGCCTGTTTCTCCCTGCCTATGGTGAGCTCTTATCTTATTGGTCAGCTCTTATCCATGCCCGTCCTCCTATCAGGAGAACGTCCGTGGTTTTCCGCGTGCGCCCTGTGCATTCCAAAGGAATGCTGCTTCGCGGCTGCGCTACGATCATCTGATCGCGGAAAAGGCTGCAAGGGGCTGCATTTTGGATTCCCCCGCCCCCCCAAAAGGCTAAGGTAGCTGAATGGTTGCGATTCACACCAGTTTGGATATTTGTTTGTGTTTGCCAGTGTAAATTTTCACAGTATTTGCTGTTCTATTGTTTTCATTGGAGCACATAGCAAACTTGCAGGCAGTGGTACTGAGCTGTTTGTTTCTTCAAAATGTGGCATTTGGCGCCAACGACTGATCTCAGCATGGCGGGCACCAATTGATCTTGTCCCCTGAAAGTGCATCATAATCTCACTCCCAACGACATTTGCGTGCCCAAGTATTCAGTGCGGGGAATGCGCCGCAGCAAATTGTGTCGCGAAAGTTGATTGTTGTTGACGCTGGCGTCCCTTCCCGTGCCAAGGACGTCCCCTTGTGCAGCCAGGTCAATCCTGATTACTGTATGGGGCCTAATCGAGGTTCATACGCCTCATGTTCAGCAAACGATGAAATGTTCAGTTCGATGTTGGATTTGCATTCACAATTGACAAGTTTCTTTTGGCCGGACATATGATACTGGACAGATCAAAAGGTGTCTGAGTTTTGCCCGTCCGCCAAACAATTTGAGAGGCCAGCGAGTTGGGAAGTCGAAAACAGCCGGGCACGAAAACCAAACCGCCGGGCAAACAGGAAATCGGACACATCGGGAATCATTTGAGAAGAGGTATGCATCCTCAAGAAGGTCAATTGACATACTCCTGCTTGTACTTCTGCTACTTCTGCTACTAGTACCACTACTTCCATTTGCTTAGGGTTTCTTTCTATTTTCCCTGTTGGTTTTGAAGGGAATCTATCACTACTGGAGCTATCTTTTGCTTGTTCCAGTGGGCTTAAGCAAATAATGGAAGACTACTACCACCACTTTCGCCACTGCCACTGCTTTTGCCTCAGTTGAGTTACTTTGCCCAGGTTCCAGCCGCGCATGACTGGAATTTCTGCGCAGGCGCTGGGTGACACGGCCGCGGTCTCTGGACTATGGAGAGTTCCTCTACCTTTGCTTGGGCCTTGGCAGAGTTCGTTTGTTGCTTTAAGCGTATTTGTTTTTTCGGCCTCACATTCTCCCATGTCTTAAGAAATCTACTCATCAAGTATCGGGCTGTGAGCCTTGAGGTACGTACTCCGACGATACATTCTTGATGGGCCGAGGTGACACGCGCCGAAAAGGCGTTGGGCCCGGCAGGCTGATGTACCGGGTCGCCCGCAAGGCCGCGGGCGGACAGGGGGTGCTTCGGTCCTGATTTCCAGCCAGTTGAGAGCTGGTTGAGGCAGTTTGATTCCTCTTGCTCGGACCGAACTTACGAGGGGAGGGGTATTTTTGTTTCTTCGTTTTTTTTTTTTGCTTTTGGCTTCTTGGCTTCTTGGCTTCTTGGCTTTTTGGCTTCTTGGCTTTTGGCTTCTTGGCTTCTTGGCTTCTTGGCTTTTTGGCTTCTTGGCTTTTTGGCTTCTTGGCTTCTTGGCTTCTTGGCTTTTTGGCTTCTTGGCTTTTTGGCTTTTCGGCTTCTTGGCTTTTCGGCTTCTTGGCTTCTTGGCTTTTTGGCTTCTCAGCTTCTGGGCTATTTTCGGCTTCTTGGCTTTGGCCTTTCGCATCCTCTGCATTCCCAGTTCCTCTTCGGCAGGTGGCATTTTGGCTTTTGCGGCTTTTCGCTGGTTTATGCGGCTTTTGGCGGCTTTAGCTTTTTGCATCCTCTGCTTTCCCAGTTCCTGTCCGGGCTTTTTGGCTTTTGCACCCTTTCATTTGTTTTTGGATGTGGCTTCCCGCATCATCAGCATCACCAGTTCCTCCCTATTTTAATCATCACTTCTTCGAACATCATGGGGGGGAAGCCCCCCCCTCAACCCACCCGCTACTGTTTGCAGAGTAGTTGCACTACTTTTCGGATTTATCTTGCAGAGATTGAATTGCACCCCTAGTTCAATCTCCACTTTTCGAGCGTCCAATTTCGCGAGAAAATGCTGCAAAATACGACATTTTAGATATTATGTGTAATCCATGTATGTCTGTATGTACTCGTATGTACTTCTTCGAACATCATAGGGGAAGCCACCCCCGCTGCCTTTTAAATTCTATCGCACCCTTTCTTGAACCATTGCACCCCTACTTGAATCATCACTTCTTCCGACATCATGGGGGGGGCTGCCGCCCCCCCCAACCCCCCCGCTACGTTTTAGATTTTCTACAGAGATTTAATTAATAGTTGAATCATCAATTCTTCGAACATCATGGGGCGCTGCCCCCCAACCCCCCGCTACTTTTTAGACTTTTGCAGAGATGTAATTGCACCCCTATTCAAATCATCACTTCTGCAAACAACATCATGAGAAAGGCTGCCGCCCCCCCCCCCCAACCCCCCCGCTACTTTTTAGTGTTGTTTATTCTTCTTTTTTTACAGGGATTGAAATTCCCTCCTATTCTAATCATCAATTTGACCCCGTCAACCCGCCAGCTATGATTTTGTTGCCCACGATTTGTTGGTGATGCTAGGGATGTTGGTCGGACATGAGTTGCAAACGATGCTGGGGATGTTGACGGGCTTGTGTAAAATGCGAATTTCGCGAGACAATGCTGTAAAATACGACATTTTACTGTGTAAAATACGACATTTGACTGGCCCGGACGAAAAACGGGAAAAAAAAACAAAAAAACAACAAAGAAACACAACATAATTCCGCACCCCTTACGAGGCGCCCAGAAAGCCATTTGGATGTTGGTTCAAAATAGGAATTGGTCCTAGAATGCCAACCAAAAGGTGGGTTCGCTTATTTTGAGGGTATCCATTGGGGGTGGTTTCAAAGGGATGTTGGGTCACATGTTGAGACAAACCCTGAGAAGCTTCCATCTAAAGGGAGACCTGCCCCAGGAAGTCTTTCGTATTTTGCTGAAGCACAACCTCGACTTCTACGAAGTGGTGCACAAGGCGTTTGCGCCGCGTGTGCAACACCTCACGTGCTGTATGCACCAGATGTGCTCCGAAAAGCTTGCAACTCTGCACCACGCGTTTTTTGATGGCAAACCCCAGGGTGCAAGCAGACCCAGAGGTCCCGATCTCTGTTGGTACATCAACATGCTTTGGTTGAGTTGTTTGCCTTTGGGTTTGCTCGGCAAGTGGAGCCCTGGTTGTGTCCAATCAGGGGACCCCAAACAGGTTTTAATGAGCGGGCTCCAGCTTGCACCAAAGGACAATCATGTGTGTGTGTGTTTTCGCATCCGAAAGGAACCCGTTTGTGATGAACCCAATCTTTTCAACCACCGTTCTTTTCAAAAACCGGCTGGTTTTTCCTGGGTTTTTGATGGTTTCCTGAAAAGAAGGATCCCCGGAAGGAATGGAAATGGAAGGCACCCCTAGAAAGTGGCACAAGCCCTCCATTTGGTGGTCCACCCGCCACCCAAGCGTCACGGTGGCTCTCACACCTCGCCAGGTTGGGGACCTCACTTTTCCGCAGGCAGGCGAGCCGGCCCGCACTGCCGCATCCTGCTATTGCCCGAAGCTGAGGCATGTGTCTGGCGTCCTACTCTGCGCGACACATACCCGTCCCAAGTCAGTAGCTGTAACATGCTGCTATGTGGGTACAGGGATCGTCCAGGCTACATAGCATATCCAAAAGAGCCATATCCTTGTATCGATTTTGGGTATGTAGCCAGGGCCTTAGGATGTTGCAAGCCTTCCTGTCCTGCGAGTGACTGAGTGGGCCATGATGGCCGCCTCGCAGAATGCACAGAGTCCATCTGGCGATTTACTACTTGTTTTCAATACTGGGGATAGATACCATGCCAAATACCAATACCAAGTTCAAATTAGCCAGTACTGACAGCGTAATACGCCAACAAGTTTCAAGTTAACCCTAACTCCAGTCGTATTTATAGACGCTTCACAACCAAACAACAATTCTAAATTCATATTAAACCACCAATACGATATTAATGTTTAACCATTCGCAACCAGTACGACTCCAAACACACCATGCATTTCTTGTGCTAATATCCCTTACTCGGAAACTGCCATTTTGGGCCGGAAAGAGTTGTGGCAGCAGAACCCAAGGGAACCCCCGCACCCAAATGAAGCTTATTTATATTCCTCCACTTTGGTACGTGTCTAGATTCCTCATCCGCTTGCTGTTGATTGCACCCATGGGCCCAAGAAACGGAACCCGCAAACGCGATTGGCACCTCTGAGATGCCACTGGCGGGCTTTGCTCCAAGCAGCAACAGCTGCGACAGGAGGCGAAGCGGCATGCAGCATCTGTCTTCGATTCACAGCCTGCTTGTTTGAAGATGTTGCAACTTGAATTGAGTTGAAACTGGTTAGTCAAACTTGGATTCGCAGCTGGAACCACCTATGTTCGCATAGTCGCTTTGAGAGGATGCCGCTAGTATGTGAGCAATGCTCGAAGCTGACCATCATCTACTGTGGTTAACGAACTGCAATTGAACCCAACTTGTCCACGAGATTGCAAGGTCTTCTCGCCAACACGTCAGTGGTGGGACAGTTCATATTGAATGTGGCTCATGTGAACCCATGATTTTGCATTTGCATTTGGACTGCGCTTGCAGGAGCAAAAGAAGCAGAAGAAGAAAACACAGGACGTGCATAGTATACACATATGAGGTCTGGTCAAAAATTATGATCTGGGATTCATTTGGGCGGCACCTGGGGTCACTCACTACACTTGCGAAAAAAGCAGGGAACTCACCAATTGTCCCATGTCCTCTCGGTGGAACAAGCGATTTTGACCGTGCCTGCTATGTGACGTGTGCGCGTGTGCTGAGCAACATCAAATGATGCTTGATATACATGGTCCAGAGGCCGGCGCACTGAAATTACAGACAAGAGCCTGCCGCGCGTCAATGTGTTGAACACGTGTGTTCGGAGAGGCGGAAGATGGACAAAGTGAAGAAGGAAGTGACGATGACTGAGGATAGGAGCTCTTCTGGTGCCTTGCGCAAGGCTAAGCTGCTTTTGTTGCAGGGTTGGGGAAGTCGCAAAACATCCAGACCAAGAGGATGACAAGACCTTGTTTGCATTCTCCAGGAGTTGGGCTCTTGTAGCCAGGTTTGCCGGAATTCGAAGGGTCAAAGGTGCCTCTGAGTCAAAGAAACTCTTGCCCTTTCAGTCCGCTTTGCATCGCGCCCTGGAGTTGTGAACTCAGTGAAAGTGCAAAGCTGCGAAAAGGCTTCGCTTGCCGCTTTCGTCAACTGGCCATTACGAGTGACAAGGGTTTCGGGAGTTCCCTCCGCCGGCCGCCTCAATGCCGCGTCGCGAGGCATTGGCATCCCCAGGGAGCTGCTTCCCCAAGAGGCAGCTGACGATCGAGAGCCCGCCGACTTGAGACACAAATGCGCATTTTTCCACAAACAGACGTAACAACACAATTAAAGAACGAGCAAACAAGAAGCAACACAAAAGCAGAACACACAATACAAACAACCAGCCAGCCAACCAAATTGGATGAGGCTTGAAGGCAGCTGGGTTGCCAAAGTGGCAAGCTTGTCCCTTCTGAGCGTTGTATTGAGCTGCTACGTACGAGTGCCCGTGTTCGTTTGCGCACGTAAAGATACGAGCGGCGGGAAGCAGTGTTTGGGCCAGTGTTGGCTTGAACAAAGTAGGAGGAGATAAAACAACTGGGCACTGTTTTGCATGTGCGATCTCGACTCAAACGCTACGTAGCCATTCTGTGCTGTTTTTGCTTTTGAATACATCAAAGACGAAAATAACAAAGCTCAAGACAGGGTCATAGACTTCTTTGGTATGAACCACCAAACTTTGAGGCTGATATGTACTCAGCGCGCCAAAGAAAAAGCTGAAGTTGTCGATGTGCCTTTTCAACACTTGTACTAAGAACTTGCTGGAGCTTCATTTCAGCTGCATACGTTGCACAAAGCGGCATTGACAAGTTGCGATTTTCCAGCCGGAGATGGCAAGGCATTCTGTAATGCACTTGTACTGAATGTTCAACAGTTAAGATGTCGGAGCGCTGGACCAAGGAACGGGCAGGTACCGGACCAACACACGCACACCAGAGAAAGAGAGAGAGGGAGAGACGCCACTGGTGTGAGATCTTTCGCACCTCTTTGGTTTCTTGTTTAAGACCTGCAGGCTCAACTAAACTAGGTCCCAAAGTAGTGCTTTTTTTACCAACTTTTTTGGTTGGGAGGGTTCCCCTACTAAAATAGGCTACAGAAAAAAGAAAGCTTATTCTAACCTCAAACTACTGGAGGACCTAGTCAATGACATTGAACTGGCCCAGGCGGAGGTGCAAATGCTGCGGGCCAGCCTGTCATGTTTTTCTGTTTCGAAGCCATTGGGCGCAGCCCAAACTCGGATCTGCCTTTCGGTCATTAAGTGTTAATTTATTATTTTTACCAAATCCTATACGTTTATCAAAATTATAATTTTTAATACACCATCCTATTGTGTCATGATGATTTATATCATTAATACAATGTTCTTCATATTTTTGTATGCTATTGTTAAGTTGTTTTATTATGATTAATATAATCATTTAAATCATTATAACTTTGCTGTAATAAATATAAACCAAAAGGTGCTGATTTAATAGAAATTGCAATAATATTTATTTCTAAAACAACCATATATATATAAAATAAATAATTAATTATTATTATATATATATATATTTAATCCAAATTCAATAACTCTTTATAATTTTCCAATTTTTCAATTTCATTAATTTAATCAAAGTATATTTAAAACCATCTTGTTTAATTGTTCTAATGTATATTTTTTTTTAGAAAATGTTATTTTTTGTTTGTTTTTTTAAAAAAAAAAAAAAAAAAAAAAACTATAAGAATTAAAAGAAACGAAATATTATATGTATACTTTTTCCATTATAATTTAACTTTTACCGTAGCCATTTTGGCTCAAGACCCCCACAAAACAGTTTCGAAGCATTCTGTTGACCGTTTTTAAGACTAGCTGTATCAGCTATACTCGCTATGCTCTCCGAACCTCTACCTCCCCCCATGCCACGCTTGGAAAGGGCGAAAGCAGGTGAATCGCCATGCCTGCGTTGTGTAAAAGTCATGATCAGATGTTCTGGAAAGAAAGGCGAAGGCGACGTGCTTGTTGGGGCGAAGTTGCGTGAAGCAAAGAAAGCCATGAAGGACTGTGCTGGCATGTCCGTCACCGTGAATCAGTTCGTTCCCGCTGACCGCCTCTTCCCGGAGACAGTTGAATTCTTGAAGGAGACAGGTGAGACATTCAGTGTTCAGATTTGCACTCAGTCGCAGAATGATGCATTGATGGCGAAGAAGGCAGATGTGGCACTAATCTTTGTTGATTCGGATGCGTTCATTTTGAGTCTTGTGAGGACGATCGCGCTTGTCAATGAGAATAAGAGATTTTTCCCACGGACGTTGAAGCTGATGTCAGAGTTTGCATCGCGCATGCCGCCACTGAGGTATAACTGCAACGGGCAACCATACGACTTGGTGCTATATGGAGATGATGTGGTGCCATTTTACGTGTCCGTGATCACAGAACTCATGAACAAGGAGATATCGGAAGAAGACACGGTTGTGCTTTCTGCGATTGCTGACGAGTTTATCGAGCGCCAGCCCAAGACAGGTGGCTTTGCTGCCCAAACGTCGCGGAAAATCCTTGGCGACTCGTTAAATTGTCCTGGAAACAACGCGCAGTGTGGAGTTCACAAGCGTGGGCTTGACATCATCGCACATTGCACAAAGACAGGAACATCAGCGTCGACAGTCAGCCCACCCGTTGAGAAAGGTGAGAATGGCGTTGTCGTGACCATCTTTTCGCCCACAACAATTGCGTTGCGTATGGCACTTGACATGGTGAGGTTGGCTACACCCAATCTTTTGGTGTCAATTCCAAACAAGTGCGACCACGCGCTCCTTGCAACTTCTATCGTTGAGGCATTGGAATTGTTCACGACAAATACTCAGCTGGACTGCTCATATAATGTTACAGTGATAGAAGAGCCCATGTGCAAGAGGGACTCTGAGTTTTGCACAGATGTAGTTGCCTCGTTTGAGAAGTACTTCAAGCCACTCAAACCGGAGCTTGATGCCACAAAGCTTACACTTCGCGCGTTGTTCGAAGAGAAGTTCAATGCGTTATTCAAGGAAGTGCATGAACTTGAGAAGATGGAGATAAGCGTCGAGAAGTTTGACAAGAGAGCGAAACCGTATCAAAAAGCCGTGAAGAAGTCCAATGAGTTGCATGACTTGTTGATGACTATCGAAGACACTCTCGAATTGGACATTTTTTCGGTGGTTGAGCACACACCAGGCGCTACCGACAGCGCATTTCTTAGAACCAAAGAGTTCTTGGATCTTGACATCGAACTTAGCAAAAGAATCGCCGCCGCACGCGCCTCACAATAATGGATTTTTGCAAGCAGATGTGCGAAATCCAGTAGACGGTAGGTCGGCGATGAAGGAGCCATCAAGGTTGTGCTACCTTCGAAAAGGCAGTGTGGTTCATTCGGACCACTATGTAGGGAGTAAGGATTTCCTGCAAAATGTTGTCACAACAAAAACAAAAACATATGTTTATATTTTTTGTTAGAAAAATATATACAGTCAATAATCTTAATTTAATTTTTTCGACTTATATATGCAATACTAATTTATTAATATTGTATATATATTTAATCCAAATTCAATAACTCTTTATAATTTTCCAATTTTCCAATTTCATTAACTAGTTCAATATAATCATCTTTTTTATCATTGTATCTATCTTTAATAGTTTCATTTTCATCATTTACTACTTTAATTAAAATATATTTAAAATCATCTTGTTTATTTTTCTTTTGTTTCTTTGACATGGGAAGTGATTCGCATTGCTTGAGTACTTTGCTTCCAAAGTTAGTTATATACGCGATCATGTGCACCTCCAGAGTGCGCAGTGTGCAATCATAACGGAACCTAATTGATGTTGACCCTGAACAAGTCAATAAACAAGCTGTGGTCGGATTTCCTTGCGTGGTTCCGGCCAAAGTGATTGATCCACTCCAACCTGGACACACCCCTGTACATCAAGCAGGGGTCCGGCTTCAGCAGCTGTGCTCTAGCGGTCTCCCTGCAAAGTTGGCAATACCTCAAAAGAACAGGAACTGGGCCGACAAATGCTCGAAACTTGAATCGACACACGGCTCACCCCCTGCCCACCGGGACGCCACGCCTGGCTGGATCCCCGAGCGTTGGGAGGCGGAGAAGGGGAGTTTGCAGCAGCAGCTCCAAAGCCTTCAGCAGGAGCTCTTCGTCGCGGGTCGGGTTTCGCTCCAAGAGTTACCACGGGGCGTGCCGCTCGTTTTTTTTCTGGTTTTGGGGGGGGAGGTTGCGCTCGTTTTTGTTTTTCTTCGGGGGGGGGGTCCGCTGGCGTGTTTGTGGTTGTTGTTGTTTTTTTTTGGTGGTGTTTTTTTTTGGGGGGGGAGGGGCGGTTCTGAGTGTGTTTTTTGTCTTCTTGTTTTTTAGGGGCGGGGCATTCATTTTTCTGGGAGGGGAGGTTCTGAAAGTAGGGTGTTGGTTTCCACTCTGATTCCATCCACATGTTTTTTCTTTGGGGAGGATTCTGAAAGTAGGGTTCCCTTAAACTGGTTGTTTGCTGTTGATTTATCCCTTGATACCATCAAAAGGGTCCCGGTTTGGACAAACACGCATATGGCTGGGTTTCTCAAAAAAGGTGGACCTTTGTTTGATGGTTTCAAATGGGGACAGGGAAGCAAGCCAATTCAGGGGTCGCCTATTTTGAGAAACATAGGGGATGTCCTCTTTAGGTTCTTTAGGCGGAAACCAAAGGAAAATCAGCAAGTGTAGACATCCCGCCTACGTTGACAAAAATATCATACTTCTTCCTTCTTGGGTGGTTTTCAACAGTATCGTTTGGGCCAAAAAAGAGTTTTTTTTGGTGGGAACCCTGTTGCATGTCGCAAGGGAATACAGGCAACACGGGGTTCACGAATATTCAACCTGGAAGCTCACGAACTT